CAACAAATTACCAAGAAGCACATGAAAAAATTCCTAATTCATTGATCTTCAACTAAATAAAAAATTAGAATTACTGCAAGATACCATATCTCACCAAAATTTGGAAATTGTGTGTATGTGTGTGCATGTATTACAGGAAATCTGTTTGTAAACTTGCAAAGCACTATTAAAAGGCAATCAATGTCTATCATGTATATTTTGGTTTGCTTCTCAAACTCAGAATACCTTTGTGAATTCAAAGCACAGAGAATTTAAGTTACAGATCTCCTAATTCATATACTTGCTTGAAGAAATAAAAAAATCTTTGCAGTTTTACTCAAATGTAACACATTGAGAAAACAAATCTGGATTTAACCGAAAGCAATCAATTCTCTTCTTCCAACTGGAGGGCATTAGAAGCTTTATCTCCTCGGGTGGCAGATGAAGTAACAGCAGTCACTCCCCAGGGACAGGGGGAGTCTGATGTGTTCCAAATGTGTGGTGACATCTGTGCGTGCTGTAGTGGCCCCTGGAGAAAACACAGCTTTCGTGTGCACTGGCCTATAGCTTGTATAAATTAGTTTCAACTTAAACATTCTTTCGCTGCAGTAGGAAATGGAGAACTTTTCCATATCAAATTCAAGAGCATCTACACTCTATAAAAGAATGAACAACATGCTGTAAAATGAGCTGCATGCCATAGAGACAAATTAAGTCCTGCACGAACCCCACTCACAACAACCAGAGAAATTTGAGGCTTCAGAGCAAGCATGTTGAACTCGCGGCCAGCGAGCTATGTGCCTCATTTATTGCTTGCTTCAGAGTGAGTCTCATCTTGAGTCAAACAACTTACTTAGAAGAACCTTTCAAGTATGTTTATCTATATATAAGGTTTGTCTTTCAGAATACAAGACTACTACTAGAAACAGACCAATGATAACTGAATAAAGGCCCCATCCTTTCTCATCTAATTTGCTTTAAATGCCTCAAGTGTTTACTCTTGACTCTTTGCTCTTCACAAATATAAATACCCAGACAGAGATTTTACTATTATAAACCATTTTCTTGAAACAATTTGGCATGTGCTATTTTCCTATCTATTAAAGAGGGGATATGCAAATTGACCATCACGCTGTCACAAAGATGGCGGCACCCATAGCCACAAGATGGTGGTGCCCAGTCCCCTCAGCCCTGCTGGTGTCTCTGTCCTTTCAGCCCTGCTAGGGGTGGTAGGTGGCAGGTGCACGGTGTGGCTGGATCTACCCTCAGCACCCCCAGCTGCCCAGGGAAGACCCAAAGTGCAGGCAAGCTTCAGATAATGGCTGCCTAGCTGCCCATGGCTGCCCGAGGCTCAGGTCACCAGGACAGGCCAAGGCTTGCTTTGCTGGCAGTGGCAACAGCAGAGGTGTGATGGGGGTGTTGCCTTCCCCTGATTGTCAGGTCACCTCCTGCCTCTTAGGGCACCCAGACTGTGAGAGGGGGCAGGCGGGCTGAGGGACGCCCTCTCTAGTGCATGAATTTTCATGCACCGGGCCTTTAGTCTATAATAATAAAAGCGTAATATGCTAATTAGACCAGACATCCTTCCAGACAACCTTCTGGACAAAGCTGGGACTGTGAGGGAATCCCTGATCCTGGGTGCCTGCCAGTGGCTGGAGGGAAGCCCAGGTCCCAGGTGCCAGAGGGAAGCCAGTGCCACAGCCAGGGAAAAGGCCTACTCTTGCATGAATTTTGTGCATCGGGCCTCTAGTATCTTAATAATATTCTTTACATTTGTCAGTGCACTTAGAACGATCCCAAATCCAATGCCAAAGGGACTATTAAAATATCCAGGTTACAGCTGAGGAAACCGAGGCACAGAACTTGAATATTGAGGCCAGGAAGGATTTCATCTTGGTTCAAGTTCGTTGCTACATCCGTGGCCCCATGCTATAAGATTTGTTCTAAGTTAAGATGCTAATGCTAAATAAACATACCATACCAGATTCCTTCTTTTGAAACAAGGAATATAACTTCTTTTCAAAAAAGCAATAGATAAGAGAAAACCTGACAGTTCTTTCATCACAACTCTTCTTTCTATCCTTCCCAGGCTAGCTCTATTTGTTTCAAAAACATTTTAAAGCAATTCATAACGTAGAACAGCAATTCTTAAACACTGCTGTGGCATACTGGTGTGCCGTAAGAATTTTTAAAACGTGCAATACTTGTCTATTTAGTCAGGAGTACTTAACTCTTAGATTGTAAAAAAAAAAAAAAAAAGTAACAATAGCTGCCCTGTGTGAATGAATCAAAATTATACCTATGGGCAAAAAATGTATTTTTTGATGTGCCACAGAATGTTAGTAATTAGTTAATTGTGCCAGGAGATAAAAAAGGTTGACAATCACTGATTAAGAGTAACTATGCAAACCCTGGAATTCCATCATTGACTGTGTCTTAAGCCCAGTCATTTTCATATTAGTCAAGCTTTGTCAGTTCACAGGAGTGGGAATGTAAATAATACTTATAAATAAACATTGGTAATTTCAAACCATAGCATAAACCTGAAATTTCTTTTTCCAGATGGATAATTATTTGTATACATCCGGAAGTGAAATCCGCTAAGTAAAGATAGCTGTGAAAATTGCTAAACCTGAGACTGTGCACACCTTTTCCAGCAGAGCAAAATGGAGTCATTACCAAAATGGAATTTTAATTAAATTGGAAATGGAAATTTTCTTTTAAAATGGAAAATGTTAGTTTCCTTTAACAAGTAAAATCTAAATTTATTTAACTGGTTATTTCTTCCACATATTCTCAATTAGAGTATTGATTACTATCTGATGAAATATGGAACATACATATTATCATATCCCAACACTCCTTATCAACTTAGGCATATCCCAAAATTCTTATCAACTAAGAGGTTTGCATAGTTATTCCAGTTCTTAAATGATGACTTCCATTAATGTTTCTCAGAGAAACGAAATAGCATTCTCCATTTTATTTTGTTTGTAACTGCCTTATCATACCAATTTTCCAAGTTTCAGAACCTATCAATAACCACTTAAATGTTACATCTGGGTTCTTGGCATGTTATTAATAATGAAACTATGAGAAATTTCCATGTGGTCCTTCTAATGCTTTAGGGCATTCTAAAAATAGATCTGAGAAGTCTCACAAGTGCCCCCTGATCACATGACAGGACTAAGCTCCATGGAGAGATGTCAGTGGAATAGTTTTTCATCTTAAGGGTTTCTTAAACAGGTTCATGTTCCTATAGGAAGATTTTAAAAAATCATGATGAATTACGATAACCAAGAATTTTTTGATGATTGTTGTTGGAGGGAATATTTATTTTATAGCTTTGTTAATGTAATATATATATATATATATATATATATATATATATACATTTTGATGATTGTTGTTGGAGGGAATACTTTTTTAAATAGCTTTGTTGAGGTAATATAATATATATATGTATAGGCACACACTTATAGTGAACTTGATACATTTTGACATATGTATATACCTGTGAGGCTATCACCACAATCAAGATAATAAACGTGTCCATTATAATTTTGAAGATATCAATAATGTGAAACTTGGTGATCATTAGATTCTCAGGGGCATCAGGCCATATTTATTGTCTGTTGAGTGAATACGTGTTCTCTAATTTATTGACACATGTTTGTTTTTTTTAACATTAATGTATTGTACTAGCAAACAAAGACTGGGTAAAATTTAGGCTTTTTATTTTTATTTTTTTTTAGGAATAGCTGAATGGTGCTGAAGTTGAATACAAGAATCGACAGGTATGAATCCTCACTATGCCTTGGGTGGCTTAGCAGTCTCTCCGACCTCTCAGAACGTCAGCTCATGCCCGCACCACCATTTCTAAGAAGGAGCAGAGCCTATTCACCCACTCGCTGCGTGGGGTTGAACCTTATTTTCTCCCCAATCACATTATTTTAGAGACAATTTAGGAAGAAGAAGAAGAAAAAAAAAGCACGTCGTGTTTGAAAAGATGGGTCTCCATATGGGAATAATACATTATAAGGCAAGTCGCTTCTGAGTTTCCGTTTTTCTGTCACATATGTTCCACCATAGCAGAGAGAGCTGTAAGGGAGAGGAGGGGGGAGAAGCAGAAGCAGCAAGCCTCCTGGAATGCCCAACTTCACAAATAAAACAGCAAAATAAACATACGCACAGGCAGCTTCTAATTTGTGCGGCTTTGGCTCAGTGTTTCTGAAAGGAACCATAGCAGCTTTTTGTCCTGCTTGCCCTCAGTGCTGGTAGGAATGAGGTCTAGTAAGCTCCCCCCGCCCCCCCAGGCTCTCCTGTACTCCACTCCTTTCAGCGCTGTTCTGGAGACAACAGTTTAAGGACACAGCATTACTAGTAACCTCCTCCATCTACCACCGGCACCCGCACCCCTCCCCGCGCAGACCCGCGGCTCCTGCACAGCCCAGAGTGGTCGCCCCCAGAACCGTGGCCCTGAGGCTCCAGCTTCCTTTCTTGGCCTCGATTCCCAGGACACCAATCTGGGCTTAACTTTGCGGCTTGGGGGGCGGCTTGTCTCATCAGCTCCAGCCTGGGGGTGGTTTCCACCTGCGCGCCCTCCCCAGCTCTGATTCCTCCCCAAACCACATCAAAACCCAAGCTTATTTGGCACGTCCGTAAGCGGGGCCGCCGTGCACCAAGGAAGGCTCGGCCGAAGCAAACCATTTCCACCTGCGTAGCCGCAGGCCCGGAGCAGCGCGAGCAGCGGGAGCAGCGGGCGGCGCGCCGGGGCCGCGGGAGCGGGAGGAGGAGGAGGAGGAGGAGGAGGAGCGCGGGCGGCGCCGGGAGGAGGGGCGGGAGCAGGAGGAGCCGGAGCGGGGAGCGGGCGGGCGGCAGCTCGGCCGGAGCGGCGGCGGCGGCGCGGACACCGCAGCCTCCGAGCCCCGGTCCCGCTGGGCAGCAGCGGGAGCGCCCGCCGGTCCAGCCCCGCGCCTCCGCGCCCCCAGCCGCCGTCCCCGCGCCCGGGAGCGCCCGCCATGGCCGCGCCGCCGGATCCCCGAGAAGAGCTGCCGCCGCCGGCCGGCCCCGGGCCCCAGGGGCTGGGGGGCCGCGAGGAAGGGGAGGACGAAGCGGTGACGCCGAAAGGGGCGAGGCCGGCGCCGCAGGCGGGGGAGTCCGGCCGCGAGCCGGGCGCGGGGGCCGGGGGAGCGGCGCCTCGGGAACTGGACTCCCCGAACCCCGCCCGGCCGCTGCCCGTTGCCATGGAAACTGCATCCACAGGTAAGGCGGGCGGGAGGCGCCGCAGCCCCCACAGGGCGGTGGGGACCGGGTCCCAGCTGCCCCCGCCCCGCAGGGCGCCTCCGCTCCTTCCTCCCCCTCCAGCCCCCACTTACCCCCACACACCCCGCCGGGTCTCAGGCGGCTGGTCATGCTAGCGGATGGGTCGAAAACCTGAATTTCATTTTTTCCCCCCAAAGACTTGGAGGAAAACAAAATACTACGGATTCTTTTATTTATCGATCATCATCATTCTGGCTCTTAAAATGGTCCTCAGAGGCGCCCCGCAGCACCTGGTGCTGGAGCGCCTGTGTACAAGTTTCTTCCTTCCGCCCAGGGGGTGTGCGGGGGCCATTCGGGGCCCTGTGGCGGCTGCCCCGGTTTGGGGGGCGTGTGTGCAGCCTGCGCCCAGCGCCTGGGACGCTGACAACAAAGCGACAGGCGGGCCCGCTGCCCCTCGCCCGGCTCTGTCCCCTCTGTCCCGGGCGGAGAGGTGACTTCAACCGGCCCTGACCCGTCCCCTCCACCCATCGCCACACCCTGCTCCCGCCCGGCTCCCCCCAGCCCCATCCTTCATCGCTTCCTCTCTCCCCGGGAAACAGAAATCCCAGGGTGTGGGTGTCTAAGCCAGGAGGGACAGGTTGCCAGCGGGCTGGGGGTTGCCTCTCCTCCCCAGCTGCCCGGGTGCAAGGAGCACTGACTGATTCTTGCAGGGAGCACTGGCTCTTGCAGGGAGCACTGGGCACTGAAACTTGCAACCCCTTCAAGGGGCCGGCCTGGCGGTGGTGTTACCAGACGGGATGGTGAGTGGTTGAGGTTCAGCTTTCCAGCAAGCAGTCTGGACTCTCCCCGGCTTTTGAAAACTGCCCTGGGTTCAGCCTCCCCCGGTTTGACTCCCCCGCTTCTGACCCAGAGAGCGGTGCCCACAGGGCGGGGGCCTGAGATGCCCTGCCCAGGGCTGCCTGGAGGGGGCGAGGTGGGGAGGAGCTGCGGGCTTGGGCCTGGTAGCCCTGTTTTCCCAGGGGCTGGGGAGGAGGGTGCGTGGTGTGCCCTGAGGCAGCTAGCTTTGTGGCGGTGAATGGGAGTGTGTAGTTTGGGAAATGCAGCTTTCCCAGGCTTGGGGTGGTGGGCACTCCCCGGGAGGGGAAAGGCAGCGGACAGGGGGCAGGCCTTCACACTCTTAGCAGCTGATTTCGGGGAACCCCTTTCTTATGCCCACCTCTCCCTGGCCGCCTGGCTGGCCTGAGGCGGCTTTCACTGTGCTCCAGGACAAGAACTGAGCCGACAGAAGGAGGCTTGGGGAATGCGTTGAATAAAATGGCAACATTCTGAAGGGAAGAAAGCGACCATCTTACAAGCAAAAAAAAAAAAAAAAAAAAAAAAAAAAAAAAAAAAAAAAAGACAAATCTGAAAAACCCACTTGTCCTATGTTAATTCCTCTATGAGAAGTTTGGGGGTGATGGGGGGTAAGACTAAGATGGCTGCCTCGCCTGTCTTTTAACTTCTTCGTCTAAGTCAAGTGAAAACAAAACTCTTTATAATTGCAAAATAAGATGCAAACGATAGTAGGAAAATAAAGGTACATTTTAAATGTACATTTTTGCGTTGGGTTACCACTACGTTCTTTGATGAGGGTAGCTCATGGCTCAGAACCTTTATCCACCATCATCAGAGTAAATTCTTTATAGACATGGCCTTCCTCCCTTCAGTGTCACCAGGCTGGGTGAATCAGGGAGAGGAAGCCAAGTGCCCAGTGTTCCGTATCATACTAGTCACTAAAATGCGTTGCTGTTTATGCAATGTTTACAACATTTCTGGCTGTCACAAAGCAGGCATTTGCAGTTTTCAACAACATCATCATCATCATTCTTGTAGAAATGTTGTACTTAGCTGTCATAGGGGTTTCCTAATCGAGGCAACAAATACACGAATAAAATCAAACATGTTAAGTCTGGATGGGAGGGAAAGGATGGGAGAGAACAGGGGCACTTATTTTATAGAAATAAGATTTTATAGCACATGTTTATATAGAATATGTTAGTTTGTTATTTCTGAAGGAATTTCTGCTATAACTGTCTATTGTTTTATGTCTATTTCTTCCTTGGTAGACGGCATGGGCTGTTATAAGAGCCTCAGACGCCAAAAATGAGCCTGAGTAAATAACCAGATCTTGAAAAATGCAAATAGAATCTGGGCCAGCTTTCTTGTCTGTTATTTTGGCAGTTCTGTTGCTCTAAGTGAAGTCAGCAAGTGCATCTTTAACTTTATCTGACACAAAATCCAGAGGATTTACCTTTTTAAGAGAATGGTGCTCTTTGGGGCTGAGATTTTGTCCTGATGCGCTGTAAACAGATTTTGTTTCTTTTTCAGATGGAATTATACAATGTAAGGCAGATATTGATGTTTTAAGAACTTTTTTTTTCTCTGAAAAACACTACCAATCATGCCATCTGGACAGAGATTCCATCATTTATTTTTACACATTAATGGTTAAGTTCTTAAAGAAACATTTCCAAAGATGTTTTTCAGTAGTGACCTAACATGAATACGTGTTTAAACACCATTAAAGCCACACTATGGCACTCCCATCAGTTCTCCCATTTTTAGGTAGTCTTATTGCTTTTGGCCCTTTTGTGGTTCAACATTCTTAATGAAAAGTAACACTTACTTTAATTTTTCATGTTTAAAATTTATAATGGCCATGCACAATGATGTCTGTTGCCAAGGTGAGTTTTAATATACCACGTGTAGGCTACAGCTGGAGTTGTTAATAAGGAATCAGTTCCATCATCTAATAACTTTATACAAAGGATGTTAAGAGCAACTGGTGGTTTTTTTTTTTTGTTTGTTTGTTTTTTGTTTTGTTTATTTCTTTTTTCATAATCTGTTATTCCTGGAAACTATTCAAGAGGAGCACACAATAACACAAGGATAGAAGAATGGTTCTTTGTTTAAAGGGAGAATTTAAAATAGACTATTTGATCAAAATGCAACTCCTTGGCTGATTTGGAAATTAACTCATTGACTGCTTCATGCTTGGAGGGCAAAATAAAGAACCAAGTGGTGAATGGTGTAGAGAAATCAGTCCAATAAGATTTGTTTCAGTAATATTGAGTTATAGATAATGTGACTTCAATTTCTAGATGATTGGTAAAAAATAGATTTTCCCAATTTACCTTCTACTTGGACCACAGTGCTCATAAATTTATATTTTTCACCGCTGACTGTGATACTCTATTAGAAAACCTTTTCTTAGTCTGTAATCATTTGAATAGCTTCCAGAATGATTATATATCTATGTTTATATCATTTAATATAATACACTGTACAATATACATGAACAATAATCTAAAATTCCTGTGGAGGTTGGATTGACTGTCTTCATTTGTGGATGTGTGTGTGTTAGACATGTGTACACTTTTATTTAAAGTCATTCCCAGTAATCCTTTTCAGAAGGTATAATCTCAGTCTTCTTTCATCTTTTGAGAAAACACCAGTTCAATTGAAATGGGAAGGAACACTTCATTTGCTTTTAGAACATATTACAGACCATAAAAGAAGAATAAGAGTTTCTAATGCACTTTATTTCTCTGGATATAGCCTCTGGATATAATAAATAACATTTCTAGCAGTAAGTACACTATATATCCTTTCACATAGGGAATTGAAATTAGGTTGTAGAAATTAAATTGTAGAAACAGTCCCATATCCTGAAATACTTAGATACATTTTATCAGGGCTTTCAGCATCATTTCCTCTTCATGAACTTACTGTTCCAGGAAACTCATCCTGCTTATTTGCTCCTCAGATGTACTATAGGCCTTCCTGCCCCTTTTTTCTAGACTGTCCATGTACTTCTTATTCTGAGGTCTTGGAGAAGAGTTGTGGGTTATCTTGCTCAATAGATGGTCCATCCTGGATAGCACAGATGATGGAAAGCTTTTATTATCAATCCAATTTAGTCAACATTTATGGAATGCCTCCTTTGGGTAAGAATCTGTGCTAAACACAGGTTGTGGCTTCCTAGAACATGTGCATCTTTCTGTCTCATGTTAGTATTTAGTTTAGTTAAACAGTTGCTTTTGTGTCACTTTTTATTGTCCTCATTTTCAAGTAATTGTTGGAAGCTAGACTAGAAGGGCATTGTAATAATCTAAGGAGCACAGATTGCTCAGATAATATAACTGGGGGGGTAGGGGTGGTGGTGATAAAATCTATATCTATCTACTAGTATCTATCTAATTATTTTTATAAAAATAGTCGTGGTTGAGTATTACTCAACAATCTCTGGATTAGTTAGTTGTGCTTTTCTTTTAAAGTTAAAATATATTATTGACTAAGGGAGCTTTGGAAAAGCACTGTAAATGTAGAGGGCAGTGAAAGAATGGATGTTTGAGACAGGATAAGAAGGGGATACAGTTATTGAGGGGAATGGGAGACTGAGATGGAGTGGAGCACAAGGTCATTGAAGGAATGGAGTCCAGAAAAATGGCAAAGCCAGGAGTGAAATAATCGCCTCTTTGATTACTGATATGACAGACAACCATGGAGGAGAGCGGAGAGTGACAGTGAACCAGGGGCTGATAGCTTTAGGGAAGGACAGGGCTGCCTCGCTTAAAAGCTAGGGGGTTTTAGAGGGGAGGGACAAATAGTGGCCTGGAAAATTATAAATGTAAAGTGTCAACTATAGATCCCACAGTCTCTATTTAATATGTACAGAACATAGGAGACACTACTTAAAAATAGTTTATTGTGGGGGATGGGAACATTGAGGGTTGTAATTAACTAGCTATGAGCTAGTGCTATGGTGCAATTACTAAAATAGCTTATGCAATTTTAGGTAGTATTAATAGAAAGTCTTGGGTGCACATTAGATGAGGTAGTTTCCCTAGATTCTGTTCTAGGCGGGTCAACATCAGAGTCTTGTACCAAATGATGTGAGCCATTCTTCGTGAGATGTCAGGGAGCTATAAAATGGTGAGGGCAGGGTCACTAGATTGATG